TAGGAATATAAAAGAAATCTATTTTTCGAGCCAAGATCGAGTGGCACGCTGTTACAGAGACGCCCTCTTAACTGGGCGACCGATTCATAGTAGAGGAAATTAGCACTCAGTCTAGGTACTTATTTTGTGCCCTATTCTTGCATTATATCTCATTAAAACACTCATGAATAATTCATAAGCTTATGGTCTAATTGGAGCCACCACACACGTCACGTGCATGAACCTTTATACCCGATAAAGTCCTTTTCATTAGTATTCAAGTGCTTTTATATAAAGACACATGTGTCTTTGTGTAAAGACACATGTGATCTTTATATAAAGACCACTCGAATTCTTTGAGAATGACTTCATCAGGGATGAAGTATGCTTCCAAGTTTAGATGAAGACATAGAGCTTCATCAAGGTCATAGTCAACCCTAAAGATCTTTGACTAACGTGCCTGTCTTTGCCTTGGCACGCAATATGCAACGTGTGGGAGCTTCTATTGAATCTGGTTGCGCATGCCCGTGACGTCAAATGACAGCCATTGAATTTATCACTCTTTTCATTGCTACGCGTCGATTGAAACAACAGTCGCGACAGGGAAATTGGGCAATACACTTCCGTCAATCAAAGAAATCGGTACTTTTATATTCTCTGATTGGCGGCAGTGTATTGCCTTATTTCCCTGTTACAACTGTTGTCTTGATCAGCGCGTAACAGTGAAAAGAGTGGTAAAAAGCTTGAATGGTCTACGAGTCAATAGGTCATGAGCACTAGAAGTTTAATTATTTGGGTATAAACCTACTAATCGGTGAAACAAATGGGTAGTCTTCCTTTCTTTCTTCAAATAAAGGTCGATGTGTATAAGCAGCCCATTACAGATTTGAGCAAGAAATCGAAGAAAGGCCTACTGTCCCTTGAGAAAGACGCAGAGGGGCATTACATCACAGTAGAAGAAGGGAAAGGAGACGCAAAAAAGGTAAGAAATGTGATAAAATGTAGAAAAATATAGTACAGTGCGTTGCAGTACAGTGCATTAATGATTTACTGTTGTATTACGTTCTTAGGATTTGTTGGTAACCGTGTTTGAAAATGGTCGACTTCTCAAAGAATACAGCTTTGAGGAAATACGACAGTGTGCTGAGTTACCCCTAGTCTTGTCTGCCAAGCAATCCAAGGTGAGTTAGTTACCTTATCCAAGGTGAGTTAGTTACCTTATACAAAGTGAGTTATTTACTTTATACAAGGTGAGTTATAGTTACCTTATCCAAGGTGAGTTAGTTACCTTATACAAGGTGAGTTAGTTACCTTATACTGTCTTATACTTTTAAAACCTTTGCCTCTTGCTAGAAAGAAACGACCGTCCCTTGACAAACGACCTAAACTTCAAAGGCTGTTATTTTTCAATTCTTCTTTACACATTCGTCGGTCCTTTTGTTTGTTTGTTTGTTTGCTCGTTTACCAAGTATCCAGGTTATTCATACACTAAAAGTTGCAGCTTAGAGAATAGTAGGCTCACCACATGAAAAATGTTTAAAATTTCATTTTCTCAGATGAACATGAAATTGTAAACTTTGTCAAACTACAAAACACTCAGTTCCCACCTGGTATTGATCTTGTTTGTTTGCTTGATTTTGATAGACGTAATTCAGACGACGTCGGCACCTTCAGCTGATCAATACATGATAACATGTTACATGGCACATTTTAATTCACTTTAAATAAGCGACAAAAGCTATAAAGGAAATAATAGCGACGCACGTAGAATTAATGTTTGATGGTAGACTCGGTTTGAAACATAGAAATATTTGTTTTAGGATGTAAAAATATAACCCAATCAAAGAATATATCATGAGAATAAAAACATAGAGCAGAAACAAAGCCAAAGTTGTAAAGATGCACGCTTTCTAATGGCTAGTTTTAATTTTCTTGTAACCAGGACTGCATGACAAAACACAATACTTGTTAGCATTGATTAGCATATCTGCAGTACTCCAAAAAATATAAAGGCAAACTGAAGGAAAAAAGCCAAAGCTTGCATTTGGCGAAATATCTTAGCAAAATTGTTTACTTTGTGAAGAAAGCAACAAATTTGGCACAGATGGAGATTTTAATCAACTAATGAAATTCAGATCTAGAAATAAAGTTATCGCCAGCCACTGACAGGGTAGTGTGACTACGAGGCTAAAATACAAAATCCATGTTCACTTTGTGAAGAAAGCACCAAATTTGGCTCAAAACGGGAGTTTTGCCAGATCATCATTACAACGCAGGCTAAAAGCGTCTGACCTGAAAAACCTGAATAAACACATGATATTTGTATCGCCTTGTGTACATTTTAGTTACATTTTCGTATTGGTTTGTTGTTGTTCGTTATTTATTTCTGTTATACACCTAATTCAAAAAACGTTGTCATCGCCAAAGGCGATAGGTAATAGATGATAGGCGAAAAGCGATAGGATATATGTATATGTCATTCCAAGATCCAAGAATAGCTGGAATGACTTGTGTCTCTTCTTCTTCTTGTCGTCAAGAGTATGGACCTTCGTGCTGAGATTGATTCGATGTCTTTGTATTCAAGGAAGCCATTTCCATTCGGAATGACCTATCGCCTTTGGCGACGACAACGTTTTTTTGAATTAGGTGTATATAGTAAACCATTTGTAGACGTTATCGACAAACTGGTGCTCACAGGCATACCATTAAAAATATAGCCAATCAGAATGCAGGATATCGTTACTCCCATCAGGCATTGTTGCCTAGTTGTATACTTATTGGAGTGGGATAAAATAGTCATATAAATTACTTCCTTGTGGCATGAAATATTCCAATTGTCACCTGGTAGACAAGAGAGATTACAATCTATTTTAACATACTTTAGCTATAACGCGCGCTCTGATTGGTTGGAAATCTATGAACTATTTCCCCATGGGCTGCACGGTTCATCTTTTCTTGATTCTAACTATATTATAAATCAATTAGACAACGGAAAGTCGCTCGCCCATTGCGTAATAGACGCACTCGAGAAAATATAAAGAACTACGCCTCGTGACACTCTTGACGCTTGTTAATCGTTCTTTATATTTTCTCTCGTGCGTCTATAACGCCATGGGCGCGCGACTTTCTGTTGTCTAATTGATAAATATCGCTTTCTCATGGTATGAAGTATTCTATTTGTTACTTGTACCCATTTTATGGTATGTCACTCAAAATCACTGCATGACTTGCATGTATACATGATCAATACTTGTTATTTTAATGATGAAAACTTTTAGCAAATCCATGAAAAAGGAATGAATTCTTTGCGAAGATAAATGAAAACTGACTCTTAACTGATATTGCTTATCACGAAAAAGCATAATTATCTGTGGACTTTCTAGCCATGTTTTCTTCGTATCGTCTTTCTTTCAGGGCTTCTTCATTTTCGGCTACTAGTTCTTCAGATAACGTAAGTTTTGGTACCTCTGACAAAGAAAAGAATAAAAATGGTTTAATTTACAGATGGAGAGAGTTAAAAATGATAAATTTGCAGACAATGAACAAATTGTTGGGCTATCCTAATATTTTTCTTGGTATAACCGGCTTGGTTTAGTCCTCGACCAATCGTTAAATTCCATTTTTTTTTTTTTTTTTGAACTGCACCCTTAGCTTGTTACATCAGATTATACATTATAATTAAAAGGTCAATAATTTACATGACCCAACAATCTAAGCTTGCTTTGGGCTGTTCCTTCACTCTCAACAAGTATTGCAATACAATACAATACAATACATTATAATATTTATTTCAGTAATCTTCGTTTTAGTCTTTGAAAAGATCCGGTTTGATTTACAGTCTATTTTAACACAACTGACACGCGTTTAAGCCAGGATTGCTGTGTTATATAATTCTATATATATGTATACGTCTAATTGCTAGAACTTCATATAAAATTAAAATAATGAATCGGAATAAGTTATTATTTTTAAGCAAAAGTAGTGTAATTATTTCACTGTTCTGACTGACATTTTTAATATTGACTTGTTGGTATTACACCTATTTCAATAAACGTTGTCATAGCCAAAGGCGATAGGACAGAAAGACTGACATTGAATCATTCTCAACAATAAGGTCCATGTTCTTGATGAGAATAATAATAAGAAACACAAGTCGTTTCAGCTATTCTTGGATCTTGGGAATATATAGTAGGTATAGGTATAAATAGGTATATAGTATAGGTATATATAGGTATATAGGTACTATAGGTATACACTTGTTTCAATAAAGTTAGTCGCCAAAAAACCTAGAAAGCTGAGATCACTGAGGATCATGGGAAGCATTTAATATCAAACAAGTAAAGCTTTTGATACAATTTGCAGCTTGAGGATGCTCAGAAGAGGTGAGACTGTAACTGGTAAAAGATCTAAAATCCATCAACAGTTATCAAAGCGGTTGAAACATGTAAAATGTAACTACCCATAATCCTTGTTGGTCTCAGCTTTGTAGCTTTTCAGGTGACTAACTATTGAAATAAATGTATACTATTTCTATCAAGGTTTGAAATCTAGATATATTTTTTCCAATTAATTTCTATTTGATATTTTATTATTTATTATTTTCATATGATAAGGTTGTTGCAATTAGGCGTATATGATAAATAAATGAATGAATGAATAAATAAATAGATAAATAAAAATATAGTATTGATTTAGGGACTGTACAATAATTATCAGGAGGGGGGCTGAAAAACCAGAGGGGGGGGGGGCATCACATAAAATTGATGCTAAGATAGGGGGGCTCAAAGTAAGATCACTCATTTGACGGAGGGGGGTCCTTAAGTTTTATTCGAAATGTATATAAAACCACACGGATACATTTCATCTAGTGTGACCAGTCTGAGTGACGAAGTCGACCGACAACTTCCAAGTGTGCAAATCATGCAGATGTTTGCTTCTGGTAGGTTAGCCTCATCCAACGTGAATGAAATGCAGGAGGTGTGCCGGAATTTGATGGTTGATGAAACCACTCTCAAATGCTTTGTGCAACATCTTGAGAGTCTTGAATTGAAAGCTCAAAAAAGAAAAGCTGAACGAAACACCCTTCCAAACATTAACTGGAAAGATGAAAACGAATTCCAAGCTCTGACAGCAAAACAACTAAAGATCTACCTCAAGCAGAACAATCTAAACGTATTAACAGGAAATAAAGCTGCGCTAGTAGCACGTGTCCTTAATTTTGCTCTTGCTGAAACACCAAGGGATGAAAGAATTAATTCCAGTGATAGTAGTACAGAATTCCTGTCTAGTGATTTCGAATACGACTCTCATTCTTCTGAAAACAGCGCTGATGTGGAATCAGATGACTGAAATGGACGGTTTTGTTGAACATTCTTAAGAAGTACTATTTGTTGCAGACAAGGACATCGAACAAGTAAGCACAGGCTTGCAATAGCATGACAACAGGTATTCACATAAAGACATTTCTAATTGAAGGATGGTAATCATTGGGGGGGG